AAAAAAAAAAAAACGGGTTCCGGCTTTGGGCTTTCAACAGCATTCAAGTGCTTCAGACGCCAGTCATCTCCAGTCGGTGGCCCAGGTGGCCAAGCATTTCCGCACAAGTTTATGGCCTTTCCACGGACCCCCGGCTCGAATTGTACGAGTATTCCATACTGCCGGGCAAATGTTTGTGCATAAAATCTACTTACGAGTACTAGCCTCCCACCCAGCAATCCCTTCCACGGATCTTCCACGGCCACGACACTGCTGGAATCTGCTGGATCTGCTGGCAGAGTCAACCCCGGGTCTTGCATCATTGGGGCACAGCTCTCTGGAGCAGCAATCAGCAGCTTTTCAAGCTCCAATAGCTTCAGGATGCTTCAGGGCTCTGGCAGTAGCCGCAGCAGCCATGTCAGTAGCACTTGGTGATGCGCTTCACGCGGTGAAAGCCCGCCGACCCCTTGCGCTGAGTGACTTCAGGTCCCGCCAGGCTCCTTCTACACCTCTTAGGAGCTCTTAGGAGCTACATCGCAGCGCAAGCAAGGGCAAGCAAGGGCTGGGGTGGCATCGGTCTCTTTCCCTGGCCCCAGCCACAGCACCCACAGCGTCGAGCTCTGGCACGTCAATGCTTAGCCCCCGTTTCCTGCACCCTGTCCGCAACAGTCAAGGGACTATGTCTGACGGTTCGAAGGCGACCTTGTGAGAAGAGCTGCTGGTTCCTTGCTAATCACACCGCGCCCAGGCTTAGGAGTTGCGTTGGGCAAGGAATGCTTCTTGCGCCCATGGCAAAACCCGCTTGACTTTTCGGGCGGCGCGTGGCTCCGCCCAGAACAGCCGGGGAAATCTTTGTTCGGAAGCCCTGCTCCCTGTGAGTTGTTGCCGTGCGGCAAGCCCTCCTCTCAATGCATAACTTCAGGTTTGTAACGATGCCGAGGGAGGAGTCGGTCATAAAATGTTGGGAAGCCAGCTCTGGAAGCTTTTGCAAAAAGAGATAGCCATTGATGTGCATCAGCACGTCTGACATTTTGCTTCTTGAGCGCCAGGGCATCCTCACACATCTAGATTGCTTACTTGCGCAGCCCTCTACATGCAGCGAAGAGCTGGCATCTTGGCTAGTGAGACTGAGACTGTATCTGAAGCGCTCTGGGCTGCTCGCTTGCCAAACCCTCATGACACACTGAACTGCAGAACAGTTGCAAGCGCTGACCTGCGAGGGGGGGGGCAGGGATTGACCCCTGCCTTGCGCCACGGCTTACCGCTAAGGGTCCCTATGCAAATACCAAGAGCTGAAAAGCCAGTTTTGTGCCAACTTTCGAGGTCTGCCAGGTCCTTCTGAACCTTCCAAGATCCTTCTGGCCCGCACTGGCCCTGCCCAGCACTCCGAGATTCGCGGTCAGAACAAGCGCTCTCCCTTGCCTCATACCAACGAGGCAACACCTTTGTCGTGCTTGCTTGCTGTCAGTTTGGATTAGGGCTGTGACCCCATGATGGTCGCATCTTCTATTCATGAACGGATAATTCTGACACAAAAACAAAAAGATAGTTGGAAACAGGTAAATACAAGGTGACCAGGGGAGCAGAAGGTGAACGCAAGGTACTTGGAAAAGGTGAGAAAGGCGGCGAGGTGACAAGAAGGTGATAACAAGGTATCAGCAGAAGGATAGACGAGATGTACTAGGAAGTGGTAGACACAACGTGACAACAAGAACAACGTAAAAAAGGAAAAGTGCGACAAGGTGCACAACAAGAAGTAGCAAGGAATTAGAAGGTGGAGCCCTCATGGAATGAATCGAAGAACTGAGGTTGAGGTTTGAGTTTAAGAGCAGGAATTGGATCAGAAGGCGTTTGTCTCAGTTGCTGCAGTGTGAACAGTACCCCTAAACTCAACGTAACTTGATGGATTGGGGCCTTTCCTTTTGTGTCTGATCGGCTGATGCTATCACCTGTGCGCTGGTCTTTTTGCATGATGGCCCCAACACTGCCCCACTGCCCGAATGCCCGTATGGACCTCAACATGGACCAAACGTTTACACAACCCTGACTTGCATGGCGCATCAAAGTCTTTCAAACATCCCACCTGCAAATGTGCCGCCGGCAAGCCAGCCTGCCGCACCTGCCTGAAACCTCGCTTGGCGCGTGCGCGACATCATCAAGCTCCACACTCGCATGCGAGACGCCGACAGTCGCTTCCTCGTGCAAGAGCCACCTCGCGCGCGTGCGCGCACGACACCACTCGCGCATCAGACTGCACACGCGCGGCACTCTCCAGACCTGTCACGGCCTCCCAGGGTCTCCCACAGCCACTCAGGGTAATCATTTTCAGTGAGGGCCTTCTCCTTCACTCCGCTACTTGTAGTCTGAATGAGCTCTGGTGAACTTTTTCACCTTTTACGATTACCATTTTCTGTGCATGCTCATGTCTACCTTCTGCTTACCTGCCGTCATTACCTTCGATGCACCTCTCTTATTGAGGGCTACGTGTTCATGACCTTTTCTCATTACCCTGACAAGATTGGCGGCTCGTGTGCGGAAGTATGAAGGATGCCAAACACTTCCCCTTCGTGACGCCAAAAAGCAAGCTTATGCCAAGATTGGGAAATGTTGGACATATTTGGAGCTGCTTATGCCACTCTCATAGAAGTTGCCTCAGCCTTTCAGGCAAGCATCTGTGCTGATGCCAATCCAGACTGCGTTCAGGACAACCAACCAGGCGCTCGCCATCTTAGACACCAGGTGGGTGCTCTGACACACACGGACGATGTGCCTCACAGAGCTCTACTCGCCCTGATTGAAACATGTTGCGCTATATGGCCGACCTTGCGGGACCGCTTGAATCAGTGTGGGCCGCAGGCTTAGCATGACAGAGTCACCAGAGCCGACAAGACGCTTCGAAGTAGTGGTTGTGGATGATGTCCGCGCAGTACATCATGAAAGCAGAACTCAGGCTTCAGAGATCTGATGTGCAGAGATCTTGAATGTGAAGCAGCTGGACCTGACAAAAACACCTTCTCGTGCTAGAGCCAGGTAACATGAGCATAATCAATGCTCCCGAGCTGCCACCTTGATTTGCTTCGGCCTTCGCTCTCCTGGCCACCATGGAGGCCCATGTATCGCACACTCGCCTCAGGTGTCACCCTGAGACTAGTTCGGACATGTTATTGTAAATTCAGATCAGCGGGCAATCCCCCTGCAGCCATGGTTCAGTCATGTCCCGAATCACTGCAGCCTCCTTTGCATCTGTGAAGCTTGTCCCAATGAGCGACGCATCCCTGCAGGATCGTGCTTCAAAATACGCCTCTTGACTGATGACGTATGCGCTGCTCTGTAGGCAGGTTTCTCCCGGTCTGAACGCTCTGAGGTCAACTCCCAGTGGTCTTTCAAGGCAAATGGACTTGGCATGCGCCGCTGCGCCTACTTGATTTCTGCGATCCGCTGGATTGGCCCTGCCAACAGGCAGCATCAAGCTTCGAACAACAGTGCATGTCAAGATAATCATGTCCTGACTGATCACGCAAAACACGCTGATCAGCGGCAGACATACACAAAGGCCATCATCACAGGCTGCCATGCTGCTCTTACAGATTTGCATTCTAAACTTGTAGCAGTGGGCGGTCCAAGCTGCACAGGTTTCCCCGAATGCTCCAGAAGTGCAATGGAATCATGCCATGCAGAGTTTGCGTTCCCAACCCAACCTCACCCGGCGCTGCACCGTGCCGGGCTTCCACCACCAGCTTCCGACAGGGTCCAGCCTGCAACATCAGAAAATCTTGCAGACGTGCTTCTGGTTAGCTTCGGAGCCACTGCCACTGGCCTGCTCTCCTTCGAAGCCCAGCAGCTCGTTGAGAAGGCTTGCCTCGCATCATCCCACATCAAGGCCCATGTATGCAGGCAAAAATCAAGCAAACACGGGAGGAGACCAGCCAAGTTTTCGAAAAGAGCATTCTAGATGATGCCTTCAGTGCAGCCAACTCCTCACGGACCGCTGTGTTGGCCTCATACGGCACGAAGCCACACGTCTATCTTGCTTCCATACTGCTCGTCGCATGAAAGAGCCGTGCTGTTCCTCCCTGATCTTGGCCCAGGGCAAAGTGCTGTAGCTCCGCGCGAAGCTCTGCAGC